TAATTTAAATATTTTTTATAAATTTGTAAATTGATAAGAAAAAATATTTAATTAAAATATAATAAATTTATTTTTAACCTTAATATTATAGTATATATAATTCTAAAAATATAGTTTAAAATAACAATTATTAGATTTAATATTATTAATAAGCTTTTTAATTTATTTTATAAAATATGATATATCAGAAGTAGAGATGTATGAATGCATATTTTTTTGGTTCTGCATTGCATAATGCAGCATGTGACATTATGTATCATAGTGTTTTACTAAAATCAAAAAGCAAGATTCATATTCGATATATCTAATTTTTCCTATTCTTAGGCAGAAACTTATTATTTTATAATATTTTCAAACCTCAATAATTAATCTGCTTTATACAGATAAAAAATTAGTAACTGATACAACATATCATTTAATATTACATATGATATCAAATATATTATTTTATTAATTTTTGTTATATTAAAATTATATAGTAATTTCTATGTACACTTTTAAATTTTAAAATGTCTACATTACATTATGTGACATTATGTTTTGCATAATGTAATGTATATAATGTAGAATGCCTACCTCTAATTAGAAGTAACAATACAGCCTATATAATATTAATTTAATTTACTAATTTATAAATTTATATTTCAGATTTTTTTGACATAGTTATATTATAATCATATATATTACTCAAGTACAAATATTAAAATAGATCAAATATGAATTATTTAAAATTGACTTGTTTTTTAAAAGAGTTACTAATAAATTTAATGAATTCAAAATAAATTATTATAATTAGATTTATAATACTTATAAATAATTATTTATATCTTTATAAAACTATATATTATATCTTAATTAATTATAAAATATTTATTAGTTTTAACTTTTGACTAAATTTTTACAAACCAATCAACTACATTTGCTCATCAACAAATATTTAAAGTTTTGTTTAATCTTATTAAACAATTGACAGAAACATTACCAAGTTTTAAACATATATATGATAAAAAATAATGTTGTATAAATAGGTGATTTTGACATAGCATAGACTATTGGATTAGATGAAGCTTTAGCTTTAATTGATAATACTTATAATTAGAAGGAATATTTAATATAAATTTTTAAATCTTGTCAAGTTTATTACAAATGGTAATATTATTAATTTATATAAATAATACTAAATATATACTAATTATTATTAATACATTTTAATCTAGAAAGTTAAATAAAAAACAATTTAAGAATGATATTAGAGCTGATATAAAAGCATTATTAATAGCAACTTCAGAAAAAGTAAAATTAATTTTTAATAAATTGTCAAATTATAATGTTAACAAACTTACAGATAAATATTTTAAATTAAATATAATTATATTTAAAATAATTTAATAATAATTAATTTATAATCATAGATTGGGTTCAATATTATCAAAAACCCTAAGTTATTGCATCTCTCAATCCATATTTTTCAAAATTTCAAAAAATTTATAATATATGACACCAAATAGTACAAATGTAGCCAATACTACAAGCAATCATAAAGGAAAACAACTTAAATTGTTAATAACAATTTTAAAGTATTTAATTTTTTATTAATTTATTTAATAGTTTGATTTTTATTAAATATTATTTATTTATTTAGAGGGCAAAAATTAGATTTACGTAATTTTAAAAAAATTGAAACTAAAAAAATATAATATTAGTCCTAATGGTCATGACAAAAGTGGCATTGCATGAAAAAAATTAGCAATTAGACGAAATAGTAAGTATATCTAAATTGAAATAATTTATAATATATTATATTATATTTATATGAATCTTTAAATTTATAGATCCTCACCTTAATACCAAAAAAAAAAAAAATTTATAGATAATCGGCAATCTAAAGGTGCAAACGAAAAATTCAATCAAATACATTACAAGTAAACAATAAAAGTTAAAACAACCTTTAAAATTTGAAGAAATTGATTTAACTAATGATGAAGCCACTATAAATAAAGAAAATACTAAGAAAACACAAATGTCACTAATGGAAAAATTAGAGTACAAAGAACGATTATTACAACTCGAGAAAGAAAGGAAAAATGAAGAGAATTACGTATTTCTAATTTAATTAAAGAGCGTGAACATGGGTTAGAACATTAATTATTATTTATATGCTTTTTTTGCTTCGCTAGTTTATTTGAAACAATAAATTTCTTAAAGAATTGCTTTAATATTTGCTTTATCAAACTGTTTGTAAAAAAAAAACTCTATGTAATTGCTCTAATATATATAATTATCTAATAATAACTAATTGTTAGCGTTAGTATAGCTGAAATATTTATTATCATACGTGTTACGTATGTCATACAATTTTTATTTTCGATATTACCGTATTTTACGGTCCAAACCACCCCCCTGTTGGATTTTTACACATTACGATAAATAAACTATCATATACATTATTTAAATATCCGTATGACCATAATTATTTTATGGCAGGGGGGTGGTTTGGACCGTAAAATATGGTATATTATATGCAACTACTTTTATCTTTCCGACTATACTTTTTTAAGTAACACCGTTAAAAATATGCCTAAGATTTAAACCCGAAGCAACGCCTGGGCCTGACCTACATACGTCTGCTAATAAATCTCGTAAGAAACATTTTTTGATTAACGTTAATTACAAGTTATTTCTGTTTATGTTACATTCTGATCTTAAATTTTGGTGTACGACGGTCGTGATGTGTAATGTTGTGATTGGCTGTCGTGTAATTTAATTTATTGAATTTACCCAATAAAAAAAATATATTTTTTGATATATTTTTCGTCTAATTGTAAAATTAAAGACTAAAGCTGTGTGAATACAAGTAAGTCAAATATCTGATACCTTTGTCAATTTCAACTCAGGCTTATTGATAGGCATGGACAGCAATAAATTTAAATAAAACAAGTTTGGACAAAACGGAATAAAAAAATAGCCTACAAAAGCTGTTCAAGAATCTAAGTAACTATATGTGCTGATCTAAGAAGCCGTGTTAGCCTGAAGATGAAATGTGACAAAGGCTGTAAATTCATAAATTGAAGTGCGTGTCGTATTTAATTTTTATTTGAAATTCACAGAAAACAGTTGCTATGCCGCTCACCCCTTTATCGGAGAGTGATTCACCCCTTCACACGGTTGGGGATACGTATATTAATCCATTTGAAATTTCATCAGAAATTTCAACAGATCATAATACGATAATAGAACCCGATGATGTAGATCTTTCGTCACCTTATGCTCGAGTATCTTCTAACAAGCCCAGAAGTTCACCAAAATCGACAACTATTGATATAACGCAACCTTCGGTGACAGGGACGATCGGTTATAGACCCAGGCGCTTTGCTACAGATACTCTTGATGAGCCAGTATCAGAAACTATTGTATGTTAAAATTTAATTTAATTCATATTTAATTCGCGTTAAAAATTAACCTGATAAATTCAATATTTTTAAGCTTAGAGACTTGCGGAATATTGCGCTTAAATTGGGTCAAGTCCTTAATCCTAAAGGCAACAGAGATGTCTTGCGAGATTGTAAATTTATTTATTTTTATTTGATATTATTACATTATGTTTGATTAAATCAGAACGTATTTTCATCAATATTATTTGAAAGGGGATTTATGGGGTCCATTAATTCTTTGTCTGGCACTGGCCTTGTAAGTAGTTTTTAAGAATATGATATATGCATATATAATTTTTTTAATAATGGTTATTTAATTTTATTATAATATCATGATATAAGGCTCCTAACTCTTAATGCAGATAAGAATGATGACGATAGCGATTATCAAAAAGAACAAAAAGTTTTAGTGTTCACTGGTGTTTTTGTTATTGTGTGGTGTGGAGCGGTTGTTGTGACAATAAACGCGAAACTTTTAGGAGGCTCTATGTAAGTTGTAATTACAGTAATTTGTAAATAGTTTCTCTAATTATTTTTTAATTTTTTTTTTTTTTATAAAAAAACTTAGCTCATTCTTTCAAAGTGTTTGTATCCTTGGTTATTGCATCTTCCCGTTAGTTTTAGTCGCGTTTTTATCTCTTATGATTGGTGATTATTTATTTATAAGATTAATTCTATCAATTATCGCATTTGCATGGTCATCTTGGGGTAAGAATCATTTTAATTGAACTTGACTTATTACTCGATGTTTTATTAATTATTTTATTATAAACTTTATTAGCTTCAGTTAACTTTATTACAGCATCTCATTTTGCAAACAGACGGGCATTAGCTGTATATCCATTATTCTTGTTTTACTTTTGTATTGGTTGGATGGTATTGATTATTTAGAGTTAGAATAGTTTTATTTTTATTTTTTTTATATACCTGTTATTAATTGTATTAAAAAAAAATTTAGCTGTAATGGAATATAATGTACTAGTACGTATAAATAGCCGGTACTAATATATCATGGCTATTAAGAATCCAAACGCATGTCTTGTGATTTGTATTGTTGTTTGTTCCATAGCCATGGCGAGAACAATGGACAATTGAAATATGCTAAAAAAAAATGCACAAATAAGACAAAACCCGGCAGATTATTCCAAATATTCCATATGATAACCCATAGCAAGATGCTTGACGTGCTAGCTCGTCTGAGAAATTTAATATAAGGGATTCAATATTGTTATCTGAGAATTTAAATATCACATCTATAACTGACTAAAATGTTGTTCATTGTTCGAACTAGAGTTTGGAACCGGGTTGACCTGAATGAACCGTTTTTACCTGGATGACCGGTTTAATATAACCCGGGTTTAATATTATGGAAAGACATTCATCTAATTGGTTAATTGTTATGGATATATCCGTGATTGCTCGCGATAATTAGCCAATCAAATTACTCTCTAAATGCAAAAAAATTTAACCAGCCAATCTAATATAGCTTTATTGATTCAAACCTCTTTAGGTGCACGCCCTTATAATTAAAAGTAAGGCATGCAGTTAGAGAGGGAGTAAATTCTGTATTTTATTGGTCAGATTTTAATATTTATCATGTGTGTGCATATATGCTTGAACTTCGGAAACTTATGCGCGTGTAAAGAGTAGAGGTGTGCACTTAGCACTAAATCTCAGGGTTGAGACCGGGCTAAAGTGTGCATTTTATTAAACTGAATTACATTAAAATATTTTTTTGATAACAAAAAATTTCTCAAATACGTGAAAATACAATGTTATTGTTATACGTACTGTTACACCCGAAACTACCTCTTATAAGTCCTGTATAACGGTTTTACTTTAGTGACAGATATGTTATTCGATTGATAGCAAATGCCGACTATTTATTATGTTTAGATTTAAATAACCTTCTATAGCTAGCTGTTTAATTTGAATAAGTACAAGCTCTTTGGTAAAAGAACCGGGCTTAATGTTAAAATTTATAATGTAAATTAAATTTTTGCTTTATATTTTGTAGGTTCTTTAATAATGTGTTTGGATTTATTATGCAATAATAAATATCATATTTACCAAAATTTACGCGTCTTTATCTATTCTCTAAATATATATGATAAATCTTCTTGTGTGTATTATATTGTAAGCTTCTTTTATATGAAGTCCTTTTCGTTTTCTAATTGTACAGTATTGTAGATTTTATATTTTGTGAAAACAATGTTTCATATAGTGATGGAATACTGACAATAACAGATAAGGAAAAACCATATACGTAGTAAAAAACTAATTTTAATAATTATAATCGTTCTACAACTTTAATTAAAGATTCAAAAGATATTTACTTGGTTAAAAAGAAAAACTTTTCATTGTAATGAATCGGCATTCCACTACTATAAAAAAATTTTAATAAGTTCTGACTATTATACTTAGTAATGATTATACGTACCCTTTAACTGCGAACTACCTCTTAAAATATACATATATCAATTCAATTAATCTATTAACTTTATTAATTTAAAAATTACACCTGTACCTCGAATTAATTCGTTAATTTCAAATAACCTAATAATGATACATATTAATAATGTACAACAATATATAAACTAATTCTACGTAGAAAAAAACTGTCAAATCAACAATTATTATTAATAATTTGCCATTAAGAGTACGTTGCAGAGTTACATATCCAATTTGCGATTAAGATTAACCGTTCCATTTTCAGTAATTATTTAACGAAAAATATGTAACTAAAATTGTTTTATGGATTGATGAAAAAACTACGTAGTACATATTCTACAAGAAATAATCCATTTGAATTTCGATGTGAAAACCAATGTTGCGGGCGAAACCGAATCTTGTCCAACATGCAAATTTTCGAAATATCCATATTATAGGCTCAATCCAAAAAGCCTGAAATTGTGATTGGTCATGTTCTAAAATGTGACCCAGTCGTGTGAAATTTATTTGGTTCATAATTCTGTAATTGATACCAATCGCACATGCGGAAAGCTTCACTGCCCAGTTTCAACTACTGTTAAACTTCTCAAAATCGATATGATGGTTGACAGATTTTGTATCAGTATTAGGAGGTCATCAGAGTTGATAACATTACAACGATTAGATTCATACTGTTAAACCGATCCTGTCAAAATTGATAACCTGTCAAATCTGCTTATGTATATGTAAAGGTCATTAATTTATCAGTGCACTTAGAATATGTATAAATAATTAGGATCACAATATATACATTAAAGAATTGAACGTTTCATTAAAGATACATTGCCAAAACCGATATGCATGGTGGAGGGTCATCAGATTTGAAGACATTATAAACTATTATATTCATATGGCGGAAGCAGAATTGGTGGATTAATTTCTTATTAGATATAACAGGTTATCGACTTTGACAGGATTGGTTTTGGGAATTCAGCAGTATTTGAAATATGCTATTCAAATTGATATAAATAGTCTGTTGAATAAGATAGGCAACACTCATGATTATATTTTGGATAATATCGGATTTTCGTCTTGATTTCGGAATTTGGAATTTTTATTTCGGATCACCTTATTAAATCCGAGATATTTCGGAAACGAAAAACCATTTCGCCCGCAACATTAATGGAGATAAATTTAAAAATAATTGTAAAAGTTACGAATAATATTTTATTTTTCCATTGAAAAATGGTAATATCCGAAATTTATTTTAAGTCGTGTAAAAAAAAAAAATAATAGCTGTGAACCAGTGTTTGATGGCTTTATTATTTTTAATTATTCTAATCAAAGTTACTATCGAAAGAGGAGTTATGAAAAACTAATTAGAAATGTGAGAAATATGGCTGTAAATATTTGCATGATGAATATATACATATTTTTTTCATTAAAAAAATTACAAAGTATTCCAAATTTATAATAAAAAAAAAAAAAAAAAATTTAACAATTTCATTAAGCTACAACTTTTAAATTGTTTATTGATATAACAAGCATATAAACAAATCTTTTTTTTTTTTTTTGCTTTAATAAACTCTTGTAATGATGATGATTCTTGAAATAATGAATATATAAGAGCAGCAATTATTTATAAATTATATAGCTTTAAGTTATAGAAATCTAAGACCGTATTTTTTGAAAAGTCTTATTTAAACTGTAAGTTTTATATATATTTGGCTATAACTCAAGCCGGTGAGGTATAAACCAAACCATGAAGGTATATTGATATAAAAAATATTTTAAAATGAAAAAAAGCCGATCATTTAACTAAATTTACAAAAACGTGTAAAAAAACAAATTAAATATATAGAAGAAAAAAAAAATAAAAAAATATGCAAGAAACGATTTTGTAAATATAAATTAGACAGAAACTGATGTCATATCGGAACTCCAATTATTACTAACAGATTTGGGAGGAGAATTTTTTCTTGGTTTAACAAAACCAATTTGATCCTCATTTGAAAGTTCTTCCAAAGATTGATTCATTGTCTCAGGTATTAATAAAGTTGTCCAAATACCAATAAACATAAAAAAAGCATAAATTATCATCATTCGGTCCACGAACATGTTTGGACCTCCAATATCTTTTAAATTTATAAAACCAACTTGTGCAATGATTGCCCCTAGTTTTCCAGATGCAGCGGAAATTCCATGACCTGTTGAACGATATCTTGTAGGAAAAACTTCACCAGGTATAATGAAAGTTGTTGCATTAGGGCCAAAATTTTGAAACAGCTAAATAAGATTGAAATAATTATTAGAAATGGTATTGGTAATGAAGAAAAATAGAATAAGACATTCAAAAATATTAATCATATTACCTGACATAACGTGAATATTACGATGAATAACGGTAAAGAAAACTTTAAAATTTGATGATAAGCAATACCCAAAACCAAAAATAATATAGTGAGAGCTATAAAACCCATTAATTGGATTTTTATACGGCCCCATTTATCTACTAGAAAGACAGTAAACCAATAACCAGGAACCGTTCCTAACATAGTGATAATAATGTTGCCAACGGACATATTCCATAAGGCAGTATAAACATCAGGGCTATTAGAGAAACCAATAGCCGACAAGATAATTGAATTATTTAATCCTAGGCCTATATAATTTAAAAGAAGAAATTTGATATATAAATTTACGATTAGACAACAAGAATTTTGAGTAAATTAATAAATTATTTACCGTAGAAGGCAATATCTAACACGAACCAGGAGACAGAGGTACCTATTAAAACTTTGCCGTTTTGCCATTTACCAAAGTAAGTTATAAAATCCTAATATAATATATATAAATTACAGATAATAAGTAATTAATAAATTAAAAAGAATAAAATACAAAAGATATAGAGTTAATTATATGTTACCTTAAAGGTGGCGCGAGGAACCTCTATGGAATAAGCAGGAGAATTTTTATCATGTTCTTTCTTGTTCGATGATAGAACATTATCAATGTCGTGAGAAGCTTTTTCGACATCTTTCATAACATCCATAGTATAACGTGGAGTTTCCGGAATTGTTAGACGGAAATATAAGGCAACGATACCTGGGACAACACCAAAGCCTAATACTATTCTCCATACATGATCAATGTAATCAGGTTCTTGTGCTATAAGATCTTTGTAAAGAGCCAGAGTAACCACCGAAACTACAGCCGCGGATAGAATGCCGAAACCTTGCATGGAGAAAACAGCAGCCATCATAGCTATTTTTTTTGTTTAAATATGATGGTAATAATTCATTATTTTTTATTTGATTTATTTTTATTATCAATTATTCTATTTGTTCATTATATAATTTTATTTAAAGATTAATATACCTCCACGTCTCTTTTTAGTAGCAAATTCACTTGTAATAACTTTAAATGTTAAAATAAATGTTAAAAATTGAAATTAATTGGAAAAAGAAAGAAAGAAAGAAAGAAAGAAAGAAAAAACACATTACCGGCAGATAAAGGATAATCACCACCAATTCCAATACCTAATATGAGTCTCCATAACATAAGTGATCCCCAAAGAGTGATAGCGAAAGAATTTGCACAGAGCGCAGAACCAAGTGTAGAAACGATTATTAAAGAAAGTTCCAAACCATACATCTATTACATAATAATAATAATTAATGGAAATTCGTGAGAGGTAAATGGATAATGGAAACGCGTTTACATTTCATTTACTTGTATTATTATTACAATATTATTATTTTTTTTTACATACATACATACCTTTTTGCGACCATAATGATCAGCACACCAACCAAAAACTAATTGACCTATCAGAGTCCCACAAGCAGCAGACATTTTTAACCCCATATCGATCAACTTAGGAACAGTATTATCCAAATTTTTAAAGTAGACATAACCCAACATAGTAGAAACCAAATTTATAACGAATAGATCATACGCGTCAGTAAAGAAACCAACACCAGATACTATACAAGCTCTGATATGAAACCATTGAAAGTCAGCGTTATCAATTTCAGAGAGCTTTTCTCTACGTAAATTGTCAAGGTTATTATAAACTTCATCAGAATAGTCATCATAAAAATATTCATCCTCAATATATTTTTTTGGAGAAGAAGGATGAACAACAGATTCGTTATTTGAATGCATTAGTTAAAAGGAAAAAAGAACACTAGGATTTGAAAGAATGACAGGTAATTTTGTTTTATTAATATGACTAATATTACGATATTATTATATTAAGGGAGGGGTAAAAAAAGAATATATAATAAAAATAATTAGAAGCGAGACTCATGCTAAAGAAAAAAAATTAAGGTAAACGACTTTTATCATAATTTTTAAGGTTCACCAAATAAGAATTTTAAAATTTACCAGTAAACATTGTTGATACAATATTTAAAATAACATTTCAAAATTTGAAAAAGTACATTCTTTTATTCATTAATTGGTACATATAATTTCCAATATCAGATAATTTAAAATCGCCTAGTTATACAAAATTGTCTAATTGAGAATTATATAGTGCAGAATTAATGATAGGGTTTCACAATACCTTTGGCGTACGTATTAATATGTATTAATATCGGAATTAATTAACTCCAGAATTTGAAAATCTGTTAACTATAAGATTTTGAATAATAACAATGCCCGCATATTTCCTATATATTTATGAAACTTAGGTCGTGCGTGCGTACGCACTCGAGCCATCCATATTTAGAGGTTCTGTTTTCTAAATTCGAGATGTGACATCCGAATATTTGAATTAGAGAAATGATCAAGAAGAATACGTAGACAAGATTATCTTGAAGGGAATGCAGCATTGGCATTGCATTATTGCATTAGTGTTGCATTAGTGTTAGATGATCAAATAAAATCTTAAAATTATCTGGACACTAAGCATGGAGTGCATGGAATAAGATTCTTTGAATTAGACAAGCATTGGATAGAAATTAAAACGTGGGAAGAAACATTGATATTAAACGTGGGATGAGTGAGACGGAAACGTGGTGTGAGACAATGTGACACTAAAGATGGAGTGATAAGTACTACATACAAGAGATTCAAAAAATTGGATGATATTTGTCAAAATAACAAAAATAGCAAGTATTTTTAATTCTAAGTCACTACACCAAGCATCTAACCGAAAATTTAATAATAATAATAGTCAATTATTAATTGAAGAACTAACATTGGTTGTATGAATTTTAAATGTCCGAAAAAGTTGAATGAAGCTGCAGTAACGAGTTACAGAGAACCTTGTGTGCCAAAGAGACATAAATATGTTGTTTTTTAAACGTCAATTAGCTTTTATTAACGTTAATTAACGCCAATTAACGTTTATTAACGCCAATTAACGTTTATTAACGTTAATTAACGCCAATTAATGTTAATTAAAGACTCCATGATATTATTAAGTTATTAAATAATCAATTATTGTTGTCGATATGCTTAAAATATAAATATAGTATAGCTTAAACTATATCGACATGTATCGGTATATATTGATATGTCAAAATACGAATTATTTGACTAATGTACATTTAATCAGCACAATTATTTTACAAATTTATAAAATAAATCATTGAATAAAATGTTTTTTTAATTTTTGCAACAAGTTTAATTACTGGTAGACTCTATAGGACTAAGCATGTCACACTACTTGGACATACGCATGTACTTAATTTGATTTCTGTGATCTTTTGATTCTCCCAAGATAATCATGTGCATTCATATTTGCCATCGACTAATCACGATGATCAAGTTTCGATACATATTAAATGAACATGTATGCTATGCGATCAGTATCCTATCTCTATGATCTTGATGATCTTGAATATTAACATGATATTATATATATTTAATATATTTAATATATATCGATATATAATAATAAATAATATATATGCCCGCTAAATGCGTACTAATATAATATTCTACTTTAATACGTATATATTTTCTATTAATGATTGATAAAATATAAAAATGCTTTACATAACATAATTCTTGACTTTGCTTATTATATATCATTAAAGTTAATTATGATCCAAACCTTTTGGTTTCATTAGCATAGTGATTCTGATTATCTTGATTATAATGTAAAGTTGTTTAATTGATTTAAAATTAGTTTAAATTAGAAAATTACTTGTCAGAGATGTGCTTAAATAGATTTAACTGTACATATTCCGCCAGAAATATGATCGATCTTTACTAACAATTACGGCATCTGTCGATTCTGTACGTATACGGAATTTACCGTTTATTTATCTGTTATGATTAACATACCGTATTACATACATGTCTCTCATTATCATTATTTCAATTCAATTCAATTCGAATTTATTGTTATAGTGACTTTGGTTGTTACACGATATTGTATTATTTTTATATATCGATATATTATATACTATGTATATAGTTACTGCATTATGGAATTCTGTTTTTTTTTGTAACCCAAAAAAGGAAATCTGAAATGAAAACAAAATAAATTCGTGAAGATAGAATTTACATTAATTTGGTTAGTTACTGTAATAAACTGTCCATTCCTATATATAACCATTTGTTCCCGAAATTTTTAATAAGCACTTCAAGGTCGTTTAACCCTTTAGTTTCGAGCATTTGCTTCTTGTGCACGTGTTCTGATTCTACGAACTCTAATTGGTTGTTGATTTTTAGGAGTTTGGCTTATCATTATCTTATTTAGGCTCTATTTATTAATCGGTTTTTTTATACATAATAGTAATTACAAGTCGGGTTAAGCCGTTATCTTATTACTCACACTGTCTTATTATGATCATATGCGCCTACGGCTTTATTTTTCCGAGTTGATTGATCGTTATTTCCCGAAAATCGTAAAATTATTAGTAACACGTCATGTCATATGAAACTATACATGAGTGCATGAAAGTGAAAACCTGGAAATTCGTACATTTAATGATTAATTATGATTGGTTACAAGTTTTCACTCTTATGCACTCATATAACGATAAATAATTAGTAATATATCCATTCATCGTGATTCTTGTGATTCTCAATTATGATAAATGTGCCTGAATTTGGCACTCGTCTGATGCTGTGCCTGATGTTGCACTTGACTGAAATTAGCCCCTGAAATTAGGTCATAGCCTGTAGTTTTTAGCTGTCTGAAGTCATAACTTTGGACAGTTACTATTAAATCTGATAAATTTGCTTCATTAATAATCAAAATTCGATTATTACTAAACTCAGGATGGAATTTTGATAATGTATATAGGTGTCTATTTTTTGAAAATCTCCGAATGAAGCATGGAGCCCCTGAATTCAGGGTGTTAGGTTGAAGAATATTATGTGTGGCCTTGTAAATCTAAAATGAAAATCCAGAATGAAAATCTAAAAAGAAGAAACCCATTGTAAAAAAAAATTAGGTTTGGGAGTTTGATTGTGGCATCTGTGCTTTTTTGTCCAGAATGAAACAGATGACTTATATTTCTATGCATTTTGATGACCGAAATGATGATTGATATATTTATTATAAAGATGCCAAAAATGTTGTTTCGACATAACATTTAAATAATACCAGCAGTACGAAGCGGACTTCTATACACTTTGATGACCGAATTTGCGTTTGTAATGAATTACTATAGAAGTATAGTTTTGACATTTTTCGAATGTTAACGTCCCTGAAATTTGATTAGCGATATACGTGATCACTAGAAATTTCAGGAGCTAAGCATTTATAAAGAGTATACATTTATAAAGTATATATTTATAAATGTTTTACTGTATATTAAAAATTTTTAAGCTGAAAATTTTTATTGATTTTTGATTTTTAGTATATATAATTAGAATTTAAGGTTATGATTATTGTATTTAAAAATAAATAAAAGGTTTAATTTTTTTAATTTAGTAATTGTTTTTATATTTTTATATTTATCAGATTTTCAATATTATGTCTTATATATATATATAAATATAAATTAATATTTAAGTTAATAAAATTTATCTGATTTTAATAGCCTAAGTATAATTAACTTTATCAGAAAGTTTCAAAAATATTAACTAACAAGATGTAATATAGTTTAATACTTTTTATTAATAAAATTAGTTTTTTTTGATATTAAAGTGAGGTTTTGCCTTATATAGGGTTGTTAATGGAGTAACGTACTCCGGAGCAACCCGAGTTATACTCCATTTTAAGGTTGGAGTGGGTTGAGATTTTAAGAATTATATAGTTACCTTGAGCAAGGTTATTTCTTATAACCCGAGTTACTCGTGACCTGGAGCGAACCTGAGTTGCTCTGAATTTTCATCGATCATTTGAAATAACCAGTCGCATTAGAATATTAACTTCACTCACATAATAATTTATTTGATGAAATTAAAAAAACTCTGTATTTTATTTTTGCATCTTATGCCATGTCATTGTCATGAGCAGGTTATTTCAGTTGTTTTACTTTTTTTTTTTTTTGATAAATGCATTAGAGTTACATTGCAAATCTATTTATTATCTGAATATAATAGGAATGTCGAACAGCTTAGTAATATCATTCAGAAAGTTAGAATAGGCGATTTTATGAGTGCCATCAAGGGAAACCTGTCACCAGGCTTTCAATTATATTTGTACCAGATATAGTCTAATTTGTTAGGAATTGTATCCGGTACGAAATAGAATTGAAGTCTGATGACAGGTTTTCCCTCGATGATACTCAAATAAAATTGTAATGGGATTGTAAAAAAAAAAAAACAGTGGGATTCACAAGGATTCAAAGAATTGTCATAAGGCGAAGCGAAAACATGAATTCATCCGTTAAATTTACTCTTGTTTCATAGAAAGTTAAGCTACCCGAGCTTTTAAAAGAAGTATTGTAAAACGTATAAAAAAATGACTTATCAATTGTGAAACTACATCGGAATAATCTACGAATTTGAACGGTCGCTTCTGTTAGAGTGGTCTGGAGCAAATCATTCTTACAATCCAGAGCATTAACCCGGAGCACCAACCTGGAGTACAACCCGGAGTGTTAATTTGAAATATAACCCGGTTGGGTTGAAGCAAGACTTGCTTCATCTAATTTTAGCTCAACCTACTTCACTCCATTTCATTAACAACCCTAGTCTTATATTTTTTATTTACTAGTGTTTGTACAAATTTATTATATATACTATATAATAGT